TTCTTCGAGGTTTGAAGATTCCAGAAGTCTGGGACGACATCGAGACAGAGCACATGCCTCTCGTGAGGATTTCAAGTGCCGATACTGTCCAGGAAGATTCAGCAATCTAGATGCAAGGAGACGGCACTATGACAGGTTTCACCGACGGGGAAGAAGTGTGGGAAGACGGTCTGTTGAACCACCAGTACCAAAGGTTAAAATACCAGTACCAAAGCTTGAAGTACCACTGCCAAAGGTAGAAATACCAGTGCCTGAAGTGGTGGTGCCAGCACCAGAGATGGTGGAACCAGCAGGCGATGTGTTAAGTTTAACGCCTGGGTCAGCTTTCAGTCCCGTTCAAGAGGAGATTCTGAGGGCCCGTTTACGAACTTTCGAAATCCGGATAACTCAAGCCTGAGGTGATAATTAATCATTCCTCAACTAGCTATAATTACTAAAACATCTGGACTTTCCGGGCTTATCCTTTCCGGATAAGTTTGGAGGGTTGGAGGCTGCCTCGGGCACAATAGCTCACAGCATGGTGTCAACTGACCTTACTTTTATGAGAAATCTATTCAGATTAAACACTTGAGTCTGCAATTTCTTTTCGTCCATGCCTTCGTCCAGTGACATCGCTAGAGTAGTCCTCTCTTTATAAATTATTATATTATCAAATTTTTAAGCCGAATATTAAGTTTATTTTACAACGATATACTCCTGAACACAATGGCTGCAGCTGAGCAGTGTGGGTGGACTGACGAATCAACCCAAACGTTAATCAGCATATGGGGAACGACATCCATACAAGATGGTTTTGATGGAACCCGACGGAACAACTCCGTTTATAAAGAAATCGCACAGAAGATGCGGGAAATGGGTTACAACTTTACACACGCACAGATAGTAACCAAATGCAAGAATCTGCGCAAAAAATACACCCAGGAAAAGGACTCCAATGGAAAGTCAGGAAACCCCCCAACAGAATGGCCGTATTTTGAGATGCTGAACGACATTTTTGGCGATAGACCCATTTCTTGTCCACCACACACAATTGACACGTCGTTGTCGGCTCTGAACACCAGTGGTAGTAGTAGTAAGTCTGTGGGCTATTTTTTCTTTGCTTTTGTAATTTTCCCAGTTGGCCTAGGCTCTAGTTTCTAAGGCCAAGAAGGCCTGGGGTTTTTTTTAGAATTGGTTGGAGTTCGAGCGTAGGCAAGGCGAGGTAATTCGTTGTTGAATTGCCTTGTTGGGCTAAGGAAGGCTAGGCCTAAGCAGTGACCGGCTAAGCCTGGCTGGCCCTATTGTTTGAAAATACAGTACTACCCAAAGCCTATGCCTATTTTAATTAAAATTATACACGGACTGGTAGTATTGGTACTATAACAAGCCTACCACCTCCAAAGCCTAGCACAGGCCTACCAACTTTGCGGCCCACCCCTGAATTTGGTGAATGTCTAACCTATAACAAACAATATTAATAGGTTTCATTGGATGTATATAATCGATTATGAATGTCTGTATTTATTTGTTGTAGGTTCGTCAACTGAAATGATGGCTAACCTAGATCTAAGTGGGAGTGATGTTCCAGGTAAGATAAGTGAGAAGTCTTGGGTTTTGATGCTATTCTTTTTCAATTGTGTATTATTTATTATGTCCCATGGTAAGGTTCAGTTGGGGGTGGGGGAAATTCTTGACAAATTTTCTGCTAGACCAACATATGAGACTGAGATGACAAGAACTAAAACTTTGTTAATATTTAACAGACCGAAATATTAATTGACAGTAGTATGCTTGTCTCATGGAGTAAATTTCACTCGCACTGCCATCCAATAACATGGAATTGTTTGACAATGTTTGATTTCTTATTGTCTGGTGTATTAAAATGTACAATTGTCTGAGTGATTTGACAATTATTTCTCTTGCAGAGTCTACCCAAGGTGGTGCTAGTGCCAGTTCTGTTGATGCAGGTAAAAACAGAGTATTGTAGCCTACAGTATGTAGATGTACCATACCAAACATTTTCCTCCAAATTTCCAGGACCAACTAATGTATACAGTATAAATATTCGGTTGAAACATGTATTAGCTTATTTAAAAGAATTAACTTTGTTAATATCTTTCAGTGATAAAAAAAAATCAAAAGCAATTGTCGTTGCTGATTTTTATTACACGTTTTTCATTATAAAAATGGATTACCAACCAATTTAAGAGTCTGTAAGAATGTATTGTAGCAGGGCATTTTCTATTCATCCATTAATGTTCAAAAAAACACTTTCATTCCAAATAGATTGCAATATGCCTTTCAAATTGTTTGAGATGTTTTTTAAACAGTTTCAAAATTGGATAAAATTTAAGGAAAACATTTCTAATAACTGAAAGTAATTTGTGTTAATATTATATTCTGTAGACTTATGGAGGGGTGCAGGATCAACAGTCTCAAAGCGAAAACGAAATGGTTCTCCACTGAAAAAGAGAGGTACGTTATGTTGACATTTCACCATCATTTTATAATTACAAATCTAATACTGTAAAATGTTTCGAGAGTTGCAATTAAACATTAGAGTGCTTCACTTTCAACGACATTTCTAATTCTATGGAGACGCGTACCTCATGTTCCATAAGCATGAGTAATATAATTTAAACTGCAAATCAAATGCAATGTAATTATAGTACATAAACTGGTTTTTTTTCCCCCCTTTTCAGGCAAAAAAAACAAAACAAAAGCAGACACCATAGTATCAGGGATCAGCAACATGCTGGAAGAATCTACTAAGAAGTTTGAGGAGAGTTTCTTCCAACAGCAGCAGTTGATGTTGACAGAGCAGTTTAAAATGGAAGAGGAAATGCAAGAGAGGTAGGCACAAAGGGCACATGAACGTCAGATGGAATTGTTTCAGATGCTTGGTAATTTAATCACCAAGTCATCTGCAAGTCAGCAACCAACATCTAGCTCAGCATTATCCCATCCACACATGCACCCATTACAATATAACAGCAGCCAAACATCACATTCAATGCCTAGCACAAGGCAACCCACAACTACCGCTGCATCGTTACGTCCGCATCACATGCACACATCACACCAAATGCCCAACCCAAAGCAACCGACAACTACCACTGCATCGTCGCGTCCGCATAACATGCACGCATCACATCAAATGCCCAACTCAAAGCAACCCATATCTACCTCAGCATCGTCCACTCCGCATCACATGCACCCATCACCCAACTCGATGACACCATGGGATCATGCAAGAGATTATGAGACACTAGTTTTACCACCTCGACCGCGGCTAACCAATCGGCAAGATCCACCCAATCCAGACCAACCAAGTACTACAATGTTGCAAAGTTTATTTAAACCCTGGCAGGGTTTGTAGTAACGCAGATCAGTTTTTGTGCATGATTTTATATTGATAATGTCGCGTACTAGTTATAGCCAATAGTTTGTACCTGTTCGATGTCGTTCTACATTTCAGTATAGTACTCCATTAATTTTTTTTATCTATAATCTTAGACCTACGTTTTCCATTCACTTGCAGCCTTTATCTTGATGACGATATCTGTATGAAGTGAGAATGTTTTAGACCTTCTAAAATATTTGTTTTTACCTTCTTTAATTTTAATTGTTTAATATACTGTATTGTATTTTAGAGGTTTTTAGACTTGTTTGATGTGTTTTTTTTTTTAAATATTCAGTAGTGTGATATATTACAGTACTTTACGATTGTCATTGATTCATTTTAAGGAAGTTCCACAACAAAAGCAATACAGTAATTGCAATGAAGAAATTTTTTGTTAATAAACTTTATTTTATACAAGTAGTTGTCTGTTGGGTTATTGGCTAATACTGTAGTTTTTAAAGGTTACCAAAATAGTCGACCAAAGCTTCTCTTATTTCATTGCCTGTTGCATTATTTATAGGCCTATCTTCTGCTTGATGTTGAGGCTGCTCAACCTCATCTTCATTTTCATCGTCCCATGAGGGATTATATACATCGCCATTCTCAATACACATGTTGTGCAAAATGCAGCATGCTAGAACCATATTCGGAATGTGTTTCAATTCACTGTCATTTCTCTTCATAAGAATTCTCCAACGGCCTTTTAGCATGCCGAAGCTTCTTTCGACGACCATTCGTGCTTTAGAGAGTCTATAATTAAATCTGCGATGTGCATTTGGCATGTTGTCTCTGTCAGGAAAACCTTTCATGAGCCAATTATTTAACGGGTAGGCCGGATCACCCAATATCATTATTGGTACTTGAACTCCATTGATCAACTGTGTTTGCTGAAATTATAAGAATATAGATATTTAAACTATAGTCTGATCATAATAGTAAAAATTTCAACTTTCAATTTATTATAGTGTATTGCACTTACTCTTGGAAACAGTTCTCCATTCATGCCTTTAGTATACAGGGCTGAATTCCTTAAAATCCTTGCATCGTGTGCTCGACCAGGCCATCCAACAAACACATCTGTAAATCTGACAAAGTTCTACTCATTCAAAAATTCTGTCTCCACTGTTGGTCGTCGAAACGCTGCAACACATCAACACTCCAAAAATTATCTGATCTTTGTAGAGCTGGTAATCTTTCTGGCCGGTTGTTGATTTCTTCTACAATAGTCCCAGCATATGCCGTCAAAATTGACTGAACAGCCATTTTTCTGTAAAGCAGGCCGGCAACAAATGCCCGATGAGTAGAGCTGCGGCGTCTCCTTCGCCTCCGCTGCACAGCATTGATTGCGTCCAGGGTTTGGCCTAGGAAATATATTCCTACTACAAACAACGCAAACTCCTCGGGAGACATCACTAAACCACCAAATTATATTGATATAAATATATGATTGAAGTGATATATAATAATATTAAAGCTAAAAAACACAGAAAATCGGCAAAGTATACACATTCAAAAGATCGCGATAGCTTTTACAGAACAGCATGTAGTATCGTGTGTCCCAGGTCTAAATTCCAGTTGGGACCAGTTGGAAATGCCAACTGGTCCAACTGGTTTCCAACTG